ATATTACATATATAGTTACAACTTGTGGACCTCTCTCAGATTTGTTCATTTCATGATGATATCTTTAATTCCCTAATTTTGATGAATATTTTTGTCATTTTTGATAAAAAGTGATATTTTCGACTTCTTGTTAAAAACAGCAAATCCGATTGCTTTGATATTATACATATTGTTCATTTTCTAAGGATATCTTCAGTTCTTAATTGAAATGTGCATTGCTAACAGCGGAGCTATTTCAGCTGACAGGCTGCTTGTTTAATAAATGTCGTCGACGCTCGGGGAAAAAACACCCCGGGCCTATACTCGGGGATGCCCTCAACTTGTTAAATGTCTAAAACAGAGGGGTGGGCTTATACTCGAGGAGGAGCTTATGTTCGGGAAAGTACAGTAACTAAATTCCATAATTTTAGTAAGATGTTTTACAAGATCACTATCAACTGTCGTGGTTGTTTTACAGCCAATGTGTGTGCACCACTGTCACATCATATCAGCTTAGAAGACACATCGGTTCCCAGTTCTAATTGGACTTTTTATAAACTCACTGAGAAGCATTTTGTTCTTGTATGAAATGCCTACTATACCAATTAACCATAGACACGGACACTATGATCTTGTTAGGAGTGAGATAGTAAAAAGACTTATTTTTCCTGTCTCAAATAATTCTTCCTACTGCTATATGTAAAAGAACAGTGGACTCAATGATGAGAAGAATAGAACTAAGGGGCTACATGTAAAACCCAGAGGGGTACTCCAATAGATAAGATAAGAAATACTTGTTTGTTCCACTGTTTAGGACCCCCCCCCCCCCACACATTTTCATCACCTAGTCAAGTTTTTTGACTTCAAATTTTTAGATTATTGGCCATTTTAGAAGTATTTGGGCGAGGAATGCCAATTTTTAGACAAAAAAGTGCCTTCAACCTCAATCATTATGGATTCTGTTTTCAGCTAAGATCTATTGTACTTGTACTATTGTGTGTAACTCCGTATCTCTATCACACTGTCAGATTCAGCCACCAGATATGAAAGCATTGAGTAATTTTGATGAACAAGATAAACTACAAATCAAAGAGGGCGATGTTTTGACAGTCATTGAAGGGAGGTAGGTGCTGCACATGTACACTCACTCGGAACTCATATTGGAGCCAGAGAATGGCTGTACCCACTGTCTTAGGCTACAATAAGTGTATCTCTACTATAAGCACATGTAAAAAACAAACAATTGAATTTATTATATCTTCGATTATTAAAATATGACTTACCATAATCATAAACACATCTGTCACTCACATAAATACATGTGTCGCTAATAGAACAAATATGGTACATAATAGCCCTGTACAAATGTCCCAGATACTTCAACATTTATTCTCTTTAAACCAATAATTTAATTATCCATTGGGTCCAAAAAGCAATTTGAGAAAATTACACAAAATGTGAAATTTATCACAATTTTGTCAGGGAAAATGTTCATTATCATTTTACCTTGCTCCTTATGATAGGGCTGACAACTATTGGTGGAGAGGACAGAACAGACGTACTCGACAGATTGGTCAGTTTCCTCGTAACGCTGTTGTATCGTCAGAAGGCAGTTTAAAACCTAACGATATTAGTCGACCTTTGAAGCATAGTTTTATTCACACTGGACATGGAGATATTGCCGGCAATTCCTGGGGATTTGCAGACCGCATCGATGAGTAAGTGTTCCTAAAAAAACTGTTTGACACATCCGGTGGTTAGCAATTTTCCCGTTTGGAACGCTGTTACAGAAATAAATAATTTATGGAATTCTTTTTTTTTTTAATCACTACTCAATATCTTTGTAATATTCTTGTATGGTTCAATTATTTTCAGAATGTACCTAGAAAACCCAATGATACCATTGGATAAATATGGTATAGTAGATAATAGCAATGATAATGGTGATATCAGTCTGGTAAAACTTCCTGAGAGAAGTCATACAGGTGAGGTAATAGATAAATATGGTATAGTAGATAATAGCGATGATAATGGTGATATCAGTCTGGTAAAACTTCCTGAGAGAAGTCATACAGATGAGATAATAGATAAATATGGTATAGTAGATAATAGCAATGATAATGGTGATATCAGTCTGGTAAAACTTCCTGAGAGAAGTCATACAGGTGAGATAATAGATAAATATGGTATAGTAGATAATAGCAATGATAATGGTGATATCAGTCTGGTAAAACTTTCTGAAAGAAGTCATACAGGTGAGGTAATAGATAAATATGGTATAGTAGATAATAGCGATGATAATGGTGATATCAGTCTGGTAAAACTTCCTGAGAGAAGTCATACAGATGAGATAATAGATAAATATGGTATAGTTGCTTTAAAAATAATGGCATTTTATTTACAGTGCCATCAAGTTCAAGAACTCTTCATGGAGAAGATAGCTGTAGGAAAACGAATGCAGATAACGCAGTAAAACGAGCTAATACGATAGGAAGCCCGGATTCACCATCGCGAGAGGGAATACGAGTGGGGTCATCAGTCTTTTACGTCCAAGGTATTCATGATTCTTTAAAACAAGATGTACTGGAAGAGAAGTCTGAAATTGAAAGTGAAGTGAAGTCGGAGGTACTTATTGACTTGTTTGACAGCAGTGATGCTCAAGTGCCAATAGATAATAATGTATCAAGTGGACAATCTGTTATTGAGGACCAGGCAAGTCCTCCGAAAGTCTTACCAAGCCCCCTAGCTCCTGAATGTAAAAGATCTGGAAGGTATTATAGCAGTATAATCACAGAAGAAGATACAGTATCAGCAAGACCAAGAAATATCTACGCTCCTCTTGAAGAAGAAATGAACAATGATCAGACACGCTGTTACGATAAAGTGTCTGAGGACTCTCAATATGAAACAAAACTCTTGTCTGATGCAAGACACTATGACCAAGTGAATGAAGAAGAATTGAAAGCATTGCCTGTTGCAGCATTTTATAGTGATGTTCCCATAGAGACGACATCATCAAAGGCTGTTGTAGAGCCACAAAGGTTATATGATCAGAATCGAGTCATGGCAGCTTTCCAGCCACCGACAAGACGATATGATGATGTTGCTTCTCCTGACACTTTGCCACAAAGTAAGGTGACAGGAACAACAAACAAACCTCATACAAATCCTTTTAATGATACAAAACCAGACACAAAACTGAAATCCTGTTATGACGATGTGGCTTCACCACAAAATGAAGCAGAGGTAGGATCATCTACCTACTTGTATGGAGATGACATACACGATAATAAACCAAAAACTACATTCCAACACAAAACTGTTTATGATGATGTGAGCGTGGAAGCTCTTTCAATTGATAAACTCGGTGGTGTGCCATCAGTAGGACCGGCAATTCCCACGCGTCTATATGCCCAAGTTTCCAAGGAACGACCTCCACATGTTAAATCTTCATCACAGGATGAAAAATCAGCAAATAAATCATGGGTTACATTCAGTCCTACGCCTGCTAGTCAGCAAGTTTTGCCATATGCACTCGAACAGACGACGACTAAAAAGAAAAAGAAATCGGAAAAGGTTAAAAAGGTGCAAACAAAAAATAATTCAACACAGCAGTCAGTTGGTGAAAGTGACAATGTTGTTATTAATCGCGCATCAAGCGGTGCTATTCCTAAGAATAGTGGCATTGACAAAAGCAATCATGATGGTGATACAAGAACCAAAATGAAAAACTTAACCACATCAGAAAAGACTTTACCAATTGCATCAAGAGATAAATCAACTGTTTCAGATTTTCATGAAGAGGTGTTAAAGCCGCAAAAAGTAGACCCAAAAAATGTGAAAGAGAAATCTCCTAAAAGTATTAAGATGAGCACCTCCACTTCCCAGCATGCACCAGTGAGATCTACGAATGGCAAAGATTTCCAGCATAAATCAAAAACTTCAGACTCTAAACCCAAGGGGCAATTAAAGTTACAGCCACAGCAGGCTCAGCAACAGTTAGTTGTAAGTGAAAGTGATTATGAAAAACTATCTGAGTCGATAACTAAACTCAACTTTGAACCTAAAACAGAGGAGGCAAAACAATATATTGTGGCACAGTCAAATGCACCACCAAATCATGACGAATACACAACCTGCGATACTGCACCCTTGATACGTCCGCAATCTAAGCCAACAAGGCCTCCAGTAGCCGTAAAGGATCGTAAATCTGAAAATAAAGGACCTGATTTTGCAGCAGTTGCCAGAGCAGCCCCGCACAAAGATAGAGAAGAATGGAGAGAGAACTTTGAGTGGATGGAGTTTCCAAGAAAAAAAAAGAAAAACAAACAACCTGTGGATGATGGGCCTAATTTGATTGAATTTAGTGATTCTGAGGAGCAGGATGCATCTGAAAGACCAAAGCTACCACCCAGAGTGCCGCTCAGTCGAGGTGGCAATATGCGTCGACATCGGCCGAGAGAAGATTACAGATCAGATCCAACACATCAAAGGAGCTCAGCAGTATCAACACCATCGATATCACCATTAGTAAAAACCATGCCACATAATCCATTCTCACTAACTGATCTGACTCAAGAACTTATGCCCCCTGCCATACCTCCAAGGCAACCACTGTCTCAGTCTTCTCAAAAATCGGCCACTCCAGATGATGAACAAAAGCCTTGCATATTCCCGATTATGTTGGATGGCAAAAAAATTAGTAGCACCCATTACTTCCTCATTCCTGCTAAACGGTACACATCAGAAGACTGGAACAAAGAGGCCTCAGAAGATTTCCAGAACATTCCTAGCCCACCAAGGTCACCGACCAATCTGACACCTCCACTCCCACCTAACACTGCTCAAATCAAACCCATTATGAGAGATGGCACTCAGCTTAAGACAACAGACATTGGTACCCACAATCCACTGCTTTCAAATCCCTTGCTCAAGCACATAGATAAGAAAGATACAGACGTCCATTCATTTTCTGCTCTGGATCTAACACTTTTAAAACCTATTGTGCCGCATGAAGATTTGTCTGACTGGAGTCGTTTTGATGATGATACCCACAGACAAGAACACATGAAAGATGTACAGACATCGCCACGTGAACAGGTTTATCTTGTACAGCAGCAAGTACATGGAGTGACCTTGGATGAGTGCCATACTGCCTTAGATAGGAACATGTGGAACATTCATAGAGCTGTCAACTACTTAAAAACAGAACAACTTTTTAGATTAGGTCTTGCTTCGAGGGAAAAATGTGAAAAATTATTGAAAACGTTTGATTGGAATCTTGAGCTGGCTGGTTCAGTCCTGATGGACGAGTATACACAGTGATAGCTGTTAAATCAGGGGACAAAAGTTAAAGTTTAGTTGAAAATAGAGTAGCATTTGGTATTACTTCATCTAGAATATGAAACTGCCAATGCTATCATGGTTTTATGTTCTTGCTTAATTATTTTTTATGCATTTTAACAATATCTGATTCTATCAGTTGTGTCTAATAAACAATGGAAACTCAAGAATTATCAAAATTCGAAAAATAACTCAACTTATTGTTTCCTTGACAAATATGATATTAAAACACAGTGAATATGCTCAAAACATCAAAATAGTGAAATTAAATGTCAGTTAAAATAAATGGTTTTACAGTATTTTATTCCTAACCAATTCATAAACTAATTATTTAAATTAGATTTCTGGACACAGAATACAGGAAATGTTGTCACAGCACCATTATGGTATTTATTTGCTTTTGTTTTGCCAGGTTGGCATGAGTTTTGGCGTCTTTGCCTTGCTGATGGATTAACTCGAACACTAACTACGTCTGAGTAAACGCATTAGTCAGTGCGTAGTAATTTACGCAGATCATTTCATAGCTGCGTATCAGTATTGAAATATATACATATTGTTATATTGAACTTGAACGTATAAATACTTGACTGTTGAATTTTAAAGTTGCATTCTCACTCTAGATAGGTATAAAAGTTAAAAAATATGATATATTAAAAGTAGATATCCTGCTTTAACTCTTATTTAAGACAAACAATTTAAGAGAACAGCTTAACATCATATTTCCCATAACACACCTGCTTAATTTAATTGTGTATATATTTGTCGGGGAATGGTACCTCACAAAAGTAGAAATGCAACATTTCATATTAATGTTTTTTTTTTAAATTTATTGTAAGTTGTATATATAATATATTTATATAAATACAGTTTTAATTAGTTATTAATGTTATTATATTTCTGTCTACTTTATGACATCAGACCTCAGATGGAAATGGTCTGCAAGATCGAGACAGCCATGATACTTGTTTTTGTCACTTTAATACTGTATTAAAATACTTTAATTTTCGCTGAAGGAATAATTTCATTGAAAATAAAATTCAATGAATATACCTTTTTTTCCTATATTTTACACTCAACTTGTCAAAAATCAGTAAAAATAAATTCCATACAAAACACCCAAAAAGTCTTTTCAACGAAAATTAATTCCAGCTAAAATAAAGTATTTTACAGTATTGTTCAAATTTATCTTGTTTTGAATACCATGGTTTCATTACAGAAGGGAGGGTGGATGGGATGGATCATGATTTGACGAGTAAAAACACATATTGTGACTTTTTCACTCTTGGTGAGCATTTGCGTCTTAGGTGTCAAATCTATATTTTAGTATTGCCAAAAAAACAATCTGTATCTACATGATTTGAAAGTTTATTGACACCAATGACTGGGATTGTACCATTGCATTGTGGGACACCAATGTCCATAATGTTTACACTTTTGATGTGTGTCGCTGTCGTTTGACGTGTGCCGCTGTCGTTTGACGTGTGCGCTGTCGTTTGACATATGCCACTGTCGTTTGACATGTGTCGCTGTTGTTTGACGTGTGCCACTGTCGATTGGCATGTGCCTCTGTCGATTGGCATGTGATGTTGTCGTGTGACACTGTCAACTGACATGTGCTGCTGTCGATTGACATGTGCTGCTGTTGATTGAAGTGTGCTGCTGTCGTTTGACGTGTGCTGCTGTCGTTTGACGTGTGCTGCTGTCGATTGACGTGTGCTGCTGTCGATTGACGTGTGCAACTGTTGATTGATGTGTGCTGCTGTTGATTGAAGTGTGCTGCTGTCGTTTGATGTGTGCAACTGTCGTTTGATGTGTGCAACTGTCGATTGACGTGTGCTGCTGTTGATTGACGTGTGCCTCTGTCGTTTGACGCGTGCCTCTGTCGATTGGCATGTGACGCTGTCGATTGTCGTGTGACACTGTCGTTTGGCATGTGACTCTCTCAACTGACGTCTGCCGCTGTTGATTGACGTGTGCCGCTGTCGTTTGACGTATGCTACTGTCGATTGACGTGTACCGCTGTAGATTGACGGGTGCCGCTGTTGTTTGACGTGTGCCTTTGTCGATTGGCATGTGCTGCTGTCAATTGACGTGTGACGCTGTTGATTGGTGAGTGTCACTGTCAATTGGACGGGTGGTGCTGTCAATTGTACCTTATATAACATGTAATGTTGTGTATGAATATGCAATTAATATCAATATAAAAACCCACATTATTTACATTATGTATGCGTTATAAACCCTAACCCTATTTCTGAACTTGAAGTAATCAGGGATTGCCTCAAATTGTGAGTCACTGTGACACTGTGACACTGTGACACACCTGTACTGACGATACCAAAATATAAATGCAATCCTTGAATACAGTCAGTGTTGTGCAATGCCAAAATTATTACATGCAAAAATGTATTCTTTCAATATTTTATGCTAATTTTCTTAATGGGTGTGCTGCTGAATATTAAATCAATCAAATACTGTGATTTCACATGAAATATGCCTTACTATTGGAGTACATATAAAGTAAAAAGTGCCTTTAAACACAAGTTTATGGGTTTTTTTTGTTATTGCAAACTTTTTTTAAAACTGATATTCTACTTTTGTAAATCAACCAAGGGATGAATCGTTTATATTCGCAAGTGAGCATTAATGGTTTGAGTGGAAATCAAATTTGCAAATTTATTTTTCCAAATGTTTTTACATGAGTGTGATTTTATTATACAAAGTCGCATTCTTGAAAATTGAAATGATTGGTTATCCCAAACCCTGTATATATATCACTAATACATGTGACAAAATTTGCTTATATATAGCCCATCTAAAATCTATTTGATTTTTTTAATATTTCAAAAATAACTGATAAAAGAAATGATACAAGAAATGAACACTTAAAGTTAACTTCTAATTACACATACGTTTGATTAACCAATGAACCTAACGCTTGCAAAGAAATGTAATTTGTGACATTCTATGGTAACTCGTGCAAGTACAAATGTTGATATTTTATTATGAAAATATGCTGTATATATCAACACAAAGCATTTATTAAACACTCTATCATTCAGATACTATATATCGTTTCCTTTGGATTGAAACATTTACAATGACCTTAATATACTTTCTGCTTGATATTGTCAATATTTCCTCAAGCCTACAATGTAATTTAGGATTATTTTATTCATACTGCATTTACCAAAATGTACAAACACAAGTTTTCCTTTCTAACCTTTCTTTCAGCATGAAGAGTGCTCTCATATTTTGCATCACTGCCATAGAGGGCGTCATCAATATGAGTGCATAGTTGTAAATAAATAAATTTGATTTGTGGCACTTCAGTTAGGAATATTTTCTAACATTTCTTAGTAGATTCGCTGATTAGTCCCTGTTTCAGGTGCAACCTAGTAATTCTTATTTCAATTTTCCGTCTGTGACATCTCTAACATTTTCACAGATATTCTGCAGCAGATATCGATGAAACTTGGCAGGTTTATGAACAAGTCTCTGCCAATTATGCACATAATTTTTTTTTTTTCAAAAACTACCTCTCCCTACTGCACTGAGAGAACAACTGAGCATGCTCAGAATAAATATTTAGCTTAAATTCTAATGCTAGGGTTTTTAGTGATGTCATGATCTGGTCATTACCTTGATCTGAATCAGTGACAGATGGGTCGTACCATTACCAATCTCAGTAGAAAATGTAGAGGGGTGTCAGGGCTACATTTTGATGGGAATTATAGTGGTGATACTGAAACAAACCCAGGTTCTTGTAATATACAAAGACCTGAATTAATAAAGAAGTCAAGTTGTTATTAAAGGTACATCAAGGTTTACTCAGATTCATGAATGCAGTTTCTTGAGCATGTATGAGACATAGTTTGGTTGCACTTGTGTACTCTGAGATTTTCAGTTATCAGATTAAGGGAAATCACATGAGTTGTATCCATATAGAGTACATATTAATTCAATTGTTTGCAGATGTTACAGGTATTATTTCAATATGAGTATTTTATAATTAAATAACGAGGACTGTGACATTCATGTCTTGTTAATTTAAGTATTCACAAATACTTCAAAGTCAAAATATTATGAGTAGTGCTTGCAGATAAATATTGTAGAATCAATTCCTAGCTGTACTACTTTATGTGTTTTAAAAGTGTATTGTATACTGCCCTATCTAGCATATTACTGGAAACGCGTTGATAGAAAGCATTTGAACACAGTCCTGTAGTTGATTGCTGTACTACAGTACAGATTTTTTTAGTTGAGTGATTGTACTCATCAACCAGACCCAGGACATTCCAAATAACTGAATCTCTTTATGTGCTGGTTGTTCCTTCCCCAAACCCCAATTTATTTTACCTCAAGCTCAAGATTTTTTAAACTATTTTTATTTTAACATGCATAATATAATTTTATTTTTAACATTACTGTCCAAGTCTTCTATTGCTTCACATTTACAGTTTTTAACTCTGTTATTATTCAATATATTAATTATTAATTAACAATAAATCGAGTAGTTGATTTTGTCTCTTCTACCCAGTGTTTGATTTGTCTTCTGAGTCATCTATGTGGTATGTAAATATTACGAGAATACCTCAAAATATGTACAAACTATCTGAGTGCATACTTTGAGGTATCTTCGTAGTAACCTTATCATTATAATATATCTTTTCCAAGGATACATCATGGATACATCATGGGAATGCAGAAATCCAAAATGTTTAAAACAGAATCAGTGAACTTCTTTGTGTGGAGTCCGGTCAAACTCTGGTGGCAGCCATGTTTGTTTTTATTATTAGAGGACGCGTAATCATTCCATATTTGGAATTCACATTTCCTAATATGGTAGGATGGAAATACTTTGTAAAATACCACACAATTACGGCACTCTGTAACTTATGGCGCTACAGTGACAGATTATACTTTATTTCACGCTATGTAAAATACCAAACACTGCTATAATTAATATAGTAACATCCAAA